CTGAGCACTTCCTTCGCCCTGCACTGTGGCCCTCTCCTAAGCCCCTTCACCCTAGGGCAGTAACTGCTGCCACCCGCTGAGAGGGCCTGTCCTCATTGGTTTCCCTTAACCCTGCCCAATCCAGTTGTAAAATCCCCTTTATTAAACTCTCCTCAGTAATCTCCACTGAGTGCTCCTGTTTCCTGCCAGGACCCTGTCTGAGAGATACCCTATAGAAAAGCAACAAACAAGCAAAAACGTTGCTGTACGGCCTCTGAGGACCTCCATGCCTCCTTGGGACACTTTCCTGTAAGTGCTCTGGGACCATCTGAGCAGAAGGCAGTGAGAGCACTGTATCAATCTAAATATTAAGTATTTTAAAAGCCCAGCTTCTTTATTATTAGAAATCAAAATTTGAATATTTTCTCCTCCCACCCCAAGGTAATTATTTTGCACCCCGGAGTGAGTGCCCGGCCTTACAGGTAACCTGCCAGGGCCTTGGCAAGAGAAGTCCAGCAAATGTGATGGCTGAAACCAGAGTCTGGCTGCCTCTGCCTTTATTCACTGGGTGCACTTGGGCGCATGGTTCAACCTCTCTGCTCCTAGCTTCCTGGGCAATAGGATGAAGAAGGAGGGTGGGCCTAGGGGTAGATAGGGTTGCTACCTCCCCAGGGGGCATTCTAGGATTCTCCACTTCTAGGCAGGGTGCTACACCTTCCCAGGGCTGGACTGGGCACCTGTGCTTTGGGAACCACCCAAGTCCTCTTGCCACTTCACTCAGTCAAAACCCTGTTCAGCTGTTTCCCCTCTGAACCCTGGGCTGGGCAGCGCCAGCATCAAGTCGCCAGCAGTGGAAAGAGCACATTTGTCACTGTCTGGCAGAAGGTCACTCCTCCCCCAGGTTCTGCCTCTTTAGCTCCTTTGGCCTCGCCTAGCGGGTGAGGGCCTGAGGCTTGGGCATCGCCTTCCCTCCCCGAGGCGGCCACCACGGTCCTCAGGGGCCGCAAAGTCTCCTCCAGTTCTTGGCCTCCATCCAGCTGCCTCGGGTCAGAAGGGGTCCCCGCTGGGAAAATGAGTCCCCTTTGGGGGGCTTCTAAACCTGTCCAGGCTGCCGCGTCGGAGCCCTCGGCCCTCCTAAGCCGCAGTTTTCGGTTTACGTATCTCCGCCTCGGGCGCTGGGCGGGCGGGCCTCCCT